ACACGACTGAATACGAAATAAAAACCTAAATTTGTAAATATTTTCTCCTCTAAATTCTGTTTCCGTACCTGATATAATTTGTGTAATGGATCCATATTTATAATTACCACCCACTCAAGAAAAAAGTAATTTTAGAACAAATTAATTAAACGGATTGCTCTGTCATTTTAAGTGAAGTGAAGTGCAGGATAACGGAAAAAATAGCCGTTTTAAACAAATTAATTTTATAAATATCCATTAATGTACATTTTGGAACAGAAGGAGTACATACTTCTGGAAGCTAAATTAAAATATGATAGAGGAATAAGACCAATAATCAAAAGGAAGAGGCAGATTAATACATAATGCTAGACTTTGATTATGATAATTATGATTATTAAGATAATAATAATAAAATATTACATACGTTTATGATATAAGGAAAGAACCCAGGTCTTTATTTAATTCATTTCTGTAATGGCCAATCGGGTACTCTTAACACGGTAATACCGACTACATTTAACTAAAAATATTAGTTATTTGCAATGGTCATTTTACCAAAAATCCAGTTCAGTTTATTGATCTAAACTGTTTGCAACCAAAGTGTTCATTACTTGTATGATGTCTCTGATGCAGACAGGCAGTTTAGAAGTCACTGAAATTTAAGGAAAATTCTACACCAAATCCAAGGCCATATGTGAACATAGAAATACTAATCACCGATAATTGTCTAATTTATTTAAATAAATAATAAAAAAATTAAACAAAAATAGATAAAAAGATAAATGAAATGATATATTTATTTAACTGATTTATAATAAACGAATAATATATGCCTTCGGACATCTCATGAGGAAAGTTTTCAACGCTCTGAAAACGACTGAATGTGTCTCTTCAGCTCATTATTGATAAAAAAATATGACGCTAGTTATAGGGACATTGCGTGAGCAAACCAAAATCGTGTGCATTAAAGGAGGTATACGTGAATCGTACAAAATACATGTGAAGGCAGCCGTATGCAAAACCGTATCGTGTGCAAATCAAAAGAATGTAAGAAGGGAATTTTGCACACGATGCTTAGTTGATTATGTATGTATCATATCTTTATTTCTAAGTGACGTATATATTCAGCCTCCAATTACTAGGCGTGACTTACATATATATATATATATATATATATATATATATATATATATATTACATCAATCCTATGGTCTGGATGTTATCACTTGAGATACGAAATCTCAAAGAAAATAACATGACGACTCTCCTGTTGGTATTCTACCTAATTTAGACCAAAACCGTCATTTCAGAGGTCGTTCAAACAAAGTATTACTATGTGAAGGTCAATCAAAGGTATGCCATATTTTTCTGTTTATCTTTCTGATAATTGACACAATACTATTTACGTCTACAATGTAAAATACATCCACATTGTCTACACAATTTATGCACATACATGATAATAATTTTTTCGAGGGTAGCAACTATACTAATCTTTCAAATGGTCCCCTTAAAGGATAAGTTATACACAGATATACTACCACGCAAGCACGTTTATTGTTGATAGTACATGTATATTGAATTGATTGTGTATTTTGTTTTTATCACTGCCGAGGTAAGTAACCTTAATAATTAGGCATCGGTGGAAATGCGTCACGGGCAGGCGTGCACTTGGTGAGCTGTTGTTATTTGCCTCGTGCATCCAATAAGAATTTATCGCTATTTTACAGCATGTGAAACAGGCACAAAAGACAGACTGTGGTAAGTTAACTTTCTATTTTAGTTGATATTGCATTGTACAGTGTTACCATCGGGTCAAACAACCTAGATCATTGTGTATTACTTAGGTGAAATGAGTTCTATTCATGTCGTTTTTATGCTAATTTTTATGCATAAAGTATGTATGTTCTACTATTGTATAAGGGCGATAAATGCATACTTGATTGTTCAATATGCAATTATGTAGTCTATATCGTGCGTTTAACGTCTCTTTTGTCATAGTGTTGAACACAGTGGGTACGCGCGCGGGTGGAAAATGTATTGAAACCATGAGGTGTGAAATTCAATGTAATCTCCTAATTAAACTCGAGCCATACATTATTAATACCTATTTAAAACATATTTGAGTGGAGTGTTTACATCCTTGTTAATGAGTTAAGGTGTATTAGAATATTATTCAGGATCTATGCTTAGCTACATTAACATTCGTATTTCTTGATATAGGAGTGAGTGATTATGTGTTTGCGAGCGAGTCTTGTATATACATATATAACCCATGTTTGGCATTGTAAATAAACAACATTATCATCGTTTTTTAATCATATTTCAGTTGCTTGCACCACGTTGATACATACTAACAATCAGTCAGCTTCCTTTAGATACAATGTTGGCAATTTATATATCTCAGCTGGATATCATGGTTAACACATACATATGCACACACACCTTCTCTGTTAGGAGTATAATACCTAACCCATTTATATGATATGAATAGTTCGCTATGACATTACCCTTAAATTAAATAAATCAATGTTAATAAAAACCATATACTAATAAAATAATTAAACTTAAGAATACATAAAATCTAATTACAAGATTTTGAAACTAATAAATGTGTATACGTTTCAGGAAACATTTAGTTGCATTTCATGCACTCTGTAAAATACACACAGACAAACCTGATAAAATGAGTACAAATATTGACTACGAGGCGTTTTCCATACCTAAAGCAAAATATATGCTTGTAATTCTTTCTTGAACAACAAAAAGGTTACAACATTTAGTTTATTTGGAAGGCCATTCTTCCATATTTCTACTTCAGAGTAACTAAGTTTAAAAAAAATCTGAGCTTTCGTGCACACATGGAAAAACCGTGTCGTAAAGAGTTACTTCCCTTGAGGTATAAATTATTCAGAAAACGTGTAGTTCCTAGAACGCGTCATATTCATTTATAATCTTGTAATACTCATCAAAGTGCCTTTGCTTACAGCCAGAAAGCAGAAAATAAGACAACTGACTGAAATAACTGATGTGTTTGCCTGCATTTAAAATAAAAAGACAAGTAACTTTCAAACTCAACATCAATTATGTTGTTTACACTGTACTCCGACGTAACCAAGTGCTTTTTCTTTTTAGATGCCAATATATTTATGATCAGAATATTACTATAAAAAATGACCTGCCCCAAGGTAACCAGTTATACATGTATGTCAAGAGAGGAATGCATCAGTTTCAATATAGAATAAACTATTTTTTTCTAAAGTCAAGCGACATTAAGAAGTGCTGCATCAAATAAATAATAATGCTAAAAGCAAAGAAAATACAGACATGTTAACATCATTTTAACTCAATCTCAAATTCGATGACACTAAGGCAAAACTTGAACAAAAACAAGCTTTGCACGGAAACCATGGAGAATAAGAGCAGGTGTTCCCGAAAAACAAAATATGTCACATTTCAAAAAGAGAACAAAGTTAGCAAAAACGGAATTGCAATCCTTGTAATGACCGCGAGACTTACTATCTTCAACAGCCTGCACCTGTTGAAACCGGTGTTGTGTATTTGTCAGTTGTCGACATCTTACACAAATATCGTGATATTTTGAACACGACATTGAATATTCATTCAGCTATGACATGTACCCTAGGTGAACAAAGGATATTAATATCAGTAAATAGAAAATTCACAAGAGTGAAAATTCAATCATTGTTCATTGATTTATAAATATGATGGGTATATACGATTGTGAATGTATTTTTTATTATGTCACCAGTTCATGTATGTGATTTGAAATAGGAAACACTGTATCAATAGCGTCTCTCTTCATATTGCTACAGTTCAAATATTCCAATAAACATGTGAAAAATGCTTTGGATAATCGGGTGGTGCAAAGGCAACACACGCTCATTTTACCTAAACGTCTAGGGTTCGATTCTACGACATAACATGGAAAGTGTGGGGACCACGTAAATTTTCCTTCTAATACTTCGGTTTTTCTCAGACAATAAAACTCCATGCGGACAAGAAAAATCAGATGAATATCAGGTAGAATAATCAGTTAACAATTATTGTAAAGCATTTCTCATTGCTATTGACCAGTTATAACATATATAGTAGATCAGTTCAGATGTTCATATTGAGGTCAGTCAAGTAAATATTGAATAAATATTGAGTCGTTTTAATATTTCCGTTATACCCAACAAGTGTTGTGAAAGTAGATTAGGTAACTTAATTTCTGTATACACCTTACGTTATCATATATATGGAAATGATGAACTAGATGTCATTATTGGGCTAGTCACCTCCCCATTTAGACTTTGATCTTTCTCTCAGTCAAATTAGATTTTCAGCAGTCACCTCCTAATTTTCAAATAGAAATTTCCTTGGGTATCAACCCTGGTACTGCAAGTAACTAGTCTAGTAAATAGCCTGGTACTACAGGTAACCAGTCAATGTGTCCATTGAGAAGATAACCTGGTACTACAGGTTACTAGTCAATGTGTCCATTGAGAAGATAACTTGGTACTATAGGTTGCCAGTCAATATGTCCATTGAGAAGATAACCAGGTACTACAGGTTTCCAGTCAATGTCTCAGTTTCTTGATGTTGGTATGGCTGATTATAAAGTCTTTACTTAAAACGTCGTCGGTTTGTACGTAGACAATGGAAATAAAAGGAAGGCGCCTATTTTCAATCGTTTCTAAACATGTAAAGACTATAGATCTTACTGTAAAAAGGATTAGGAGATAATCAGGGTATAGAACATACACATAAATTATCAACACCGGAAAAAGTAGAAGCCATATTTTATTTAAATTCGTCTGTAATAACACAACTTCGAGATATGACAATGATTGGGAATACAATTGATTGTTAAGCGAACGATTACATTGAAATCACCAGGTAATATACTTTCCGTTTAAATACAAATAAAACTCTGAATAACACGTTGAATACGTAAATGTCAATAATGATGTCCGCAGAAACTGAGAAAAAGTGGGACTATCCATCCAATGACGTCACCACTTACTGCTTACATGTGCAGTCTGCAGCACATCTACAAGTGCAGGGTCCAGTACATCCCCTATCGCAAGTGCAGTTCCCTAAAATGAAAGAATATGGTTAAAGTATTATGTCTAAGTGATTAATTTACAACTTATGATAAAAGCAAATACCGAGGATCATAATTTACAGTTCAGTGTATCTTCAGGCGATATAAGTCGTGGAAACTACTGCGATCTTTCTATTAAATTTAAATGTATGTCTATAATTAAAAAGAAGGGGAGAAACAAAAAACAGACAAACAAAACATAAACCGTTCGTTTGGGAAAAACTGACATGATGAGCCAAATAGTTTAGTTTTAGTAGTAGTGTAGCTGTTAAAATCATATTGTACACAACATCTTCAGCAAAAAAAGTACAACTCCTATCCAGTTTTAACACCATCAAATCTGTTTGTCTTCATGGACATGCAATAATTAAAATGCTTACCAGATGCGCAGTTGCATCTGCACTTGTTGCATGCGCACTTGCCGTTGCATTTACATGCACTTGTTCCACAACACAGCCTAGATCCACACTCTACAACACATCTACATGTGCAGGGTCCAGTACATCCCCTATCGCAAGTGCAGTTCCCTAAAATAAGAGATATGGTTAAAGTATTATGTCTAAGTGATTAATTTACAGCTTAGTAAAAAGCAAATACCGAGGATCATCATTTACAGTTCAGTGTATCTTCAGGCGATATAAGTCTTGGAAACTACTGAGATCTTTTAATTAAATTTAAACGTATATCTGTAATTAAAAAGAAGGGGGAAAACAAAACAAAACAAAAAAAAAAACAGACAAAACATAAACCGTTTATTTGGAAAAAACTGACATGATGAGGCAAATAGTTTAGTTAAAGTAGTAGTGTAGCTGTTAAAATCATATTGTACACAACATCTTCAGCAAAAAAGTACAACTCCTATCCAGTTTTAACACCATCAAATCTGTTTGTCTTCATGGACATGCAATAATTGAAATGCTTACCAGATGCGCAGTTGCTTCTGCACTTGTTGCATGCGCACTTGCCGTTGCATGTACTTGCACTTGTTTCACAACACTGCCTGGATCCACACTCTGCAACACATCTACAAGTGCAGGGTCCAGTACATCCCCTATCGCAAGTGCAGTTCCCTAGAATGAGAGATATGGTTTAAGTATTATGTCTAAGTGATTAATTTACAGCTTAGTAAAAAAGCAAATACCGAGGATCATCATTTACAGTTCAGTGTATCTTCAGGCGATATAAGTCGTGGAAACTACTGCGATCTTTCTATTAAATTTAGATGTATATCTATAATTAAAAAGAAGGGGGAAAACAATAAACAAACAAAACACAAACCGTTTTTGTGGAAAAAACTGACATGATGAGCCAAATAGTTTAGTTAAAGTAGTAGTGCCGCTGTTAAAATCATATTGTACACAAAATCTTCAGCAAAAAAAAGTACAACTCTTATCCAGTTTTAACACCACAAAATCTGTTTGTCTTTATTGACATGCAATATTTGAAATGCTTACCAGATGCGCAGTTGCATCTGCACTTCTGGCATGCGCACGTGCCGTTGCATTTACATGCACTTGTTCCACAACACTGCCTAGATCCACACTCTGCAACACATTTACAAGTGCAGGGTCCAGTACATCCTCTATTACAAGTGCAATTCCCTAAAATGAGACATATGGTTTAAGTATTAAGTCTAAGTGATTAATTTACAGCTTAGTAAAAAAGCAAATACCGAGGATCATCCTTTACAGTTCAGTGTATCTTCAGGCTATAGAAGTCGTGGAAACTACTGCGATCTTTCTATTAAATTTAGATGTATATCTATAATTAAAAAGAGGGGGGAAAACAATAAACAAACAAAGCACACACCGTTTTTGTGGAAAAAACTGACATGATGAGCCAAATAGTTTAGTTAAAGTAGTTGTGCAGCTGTTAAAATCATATTGTACACAACATCTTCAGGAAAGCTTAAAAATACAACTCTTATCCAGTTTTAACAGCACAAACTCTGTTTGTTTTTATTGACATGCACTATTTGAAATTCTTACCAGATGCGCAGGTGCATCTGCACTTCTGGCATGCGCATTTGCCGTTGCATTTACATGCACTTGTTCCACAACACTGCCTAGATCCACACTCTGCAGAACACACGAAATTGCAGTCTGAAAGAGTGGATATTAAAACACATTAACATGGGGCACATTTTATAGGTATGTCGAACACTTTGTTGTTGATAACGATTTATATGTGTTTCATCAAAACTACGTATATTTTCATAGAACAGAAAGGAACAAATAGCGATTTTAAATCACCTAAATGAATATATAACAATGTTACCTGCACATTTGCACCCAGCTTTGCCGGATGGACACTGGAATGCGCTACTGCATTTGCAGCCACACCTACATGCACGCCCTTTGTGGCAAGCTCCATCCTGGCAAGTAGCTCGCTTAGCCGCTGAATTAGAATAATATTATTTAATATTTATTATTACACTGTAATCAGTTAAAATTACAATAATAAAAGATCATACGTCTGATAAAATATCCAGTGATATTAAGGCGTAGTTGCAGAAAAATATCATGGACTTATCAAAAAAGGAGGGTATGAAGAGTCTTTTCACCAAAATGATTATTGAAATTAAGTGGTGTCACAACTTACAGAAACATCTACAGTTGACTTTACATCCGAGGCATCTACACTTGCTCGTACAACAATCCACACCAGTACAACCACACCTCCTCCCGGGACATTTGGCACAGAACACAGCTGTGAAAGAAGTAAATATTAACAAAATTCTGGTAATCGACAGCAATTTCGTTACTCGTAGCGTAACCATTCTTAGTCATATTGTCTTTGTTTAACATGATATAATCAATATAATATGTTAGAAGGAAATAAGATGTTGGCAGAACGTTGAATGGAATCTTAATGATCGAATATACTTCGATAAATCATGGCATTGAAATAGAAATATACTCGTTGTTTTCAAATTGTGGCGTCTAATATAATAAGAGTACTTACCTGTAGCCGACTTGCACCTGCCCTGACAAGCACTAGTTTCACAGCATTGTCCTGATTGACAGTTCGTAGAACATACAACATTGGCACCTGGGATGTAAGAATAATAGAATCAGCGAATGGATATGTTGGTAAGATTTATCGCCCATTAAAATATCAACCTGAGGACATGTGCAAAGGAGTACCTCTATATCTTATCTGTAGAACAACCAAGCTTACCAACCGACTTAGAGAAATTTTAATTTGCAAACCACTTTGGTCGACTTTATGTATTTTTATAATGAATACAGTTGGGAGAGATCCAAACTATCACTACTGACAACTAAGTCTTTGTATATATCTACCCGAAATCCTTATATGCAACAAGTGACAAACCCCTCAATTTTTCAATGTTACTACTCGCAGTATCAAATGATATGCAACACAGCCAAGGAGTATGCTATAAAATGTCCCATCCCTTTCGTTCCTACTGCTACTTAGTCGTGTAACGGATACGGAAACCTCTAATGTGAAGATAGCATTAACATTTAATACAAGTGTACACTACCATTAAACAACATTACCTCCACACTTGCAGCAAGCCTTGCAGACAGAGCATTCACAAGTGTCACTGCACGTGCAGAAATCTCCACACTCACACGCACGTCCGACCTGACACTGTCCACCAGGACAGAAGCCACCTTTCTTCGCTATATGAAAAGAAGATTATCAAAAATTTAGTTGATAAATAGTGATTGATAACATGACTGAATTTCCATTTTACAAAATCTATACAAAGCGGTATATATGTGATAAAACATCCTCGCATTATCCTGACATGGAAAAAACACTAGAGAAATTTGAACACTGTCGTAATATCTATATTAAGGATAAGATATTTATTGTTATTGAATTAACTTCAGACACTATTATCAAATATAAACCATGCTACCGATAATTATCTTTTAAAATGAAGAAATTGTATATATTAATGTCATATAGCAACTCACGGAAGCATCCACATCCGCTCTTACATCCGGGGCATCTACAGTTTTTGGTACAACAGTCTGCACCAGTACAACCACACTTCCCTCCAGGACACTTGGCGCAGTACACGGCTACAGGAGAAATAAGTTAATATGCAGGAACGTTAGTTAATGTAGTCTGTTTATCAAATTGCTTCATCATTGATAAGAGTAAATTCTTATGTACAAATACAGCATTGATAAAATTGTTTACCATCATAACGCAGAATACAGTAGCAAATGCAGAATTGAACTATCCGGTCTCTGATCAATAAAATCTTCAGAATGATAACAATGATTGAATTAGAAGGGAGAAAACAAGGAGACAGAGTAAAGTAAAATGGAGGTGAACAAATAAAGCTTGTGTCTGACACAGCTATTACGCAGATATAGAAAATAATTAATGGACGAAAAGGTCGATAAATACCTTATTTGACCAAATTATAAATATTATGTTATTATATAGATAGTTATTGTCGAACAAATCAGACAACAGGCAAGTACGTTAAAGGTCACCAATCAAACTATAACATCCGTATAACAGCATGATCCTGTTACACCTTTGAATACTATATTAGAAATGGGGCAGATGTTTTGATTACCCGGTAGTAAATTGATTGAAATAAATGCATAAAAGGGAAATAATTGTCTTATTTGTGAAAAAAAAATCATTATTTCATTTACAAATATTTAGAAATTTCTTATCCTCATATGCACTCGATCTTTATGATACTCTAACATATTTGCAAGATAATAACTGTATAAATAAGTCTATTTAAAAAAAAAAAAACAAAAAAATCATACATTTACCGGATGCGCAGTTACAAGTAACTAATTCTCACCAATCGAAGAATTTCCGTCTCTAGTAATTAAAGACTACCTGGTGTGAGTTTCTTTTTATTGTCCTGATTAAAGCTAACTGTGCATAACAAATGAGACACTCTACCTGCACTTTTGCATCCGGCTTTACATTGAGGACACTGACATCCCGTCACTGCACTGACAAGAGTCGCCACACTCACACTCGCGTCCAAGTTGGCATATTCCATCAGGACAGGTAGTACCTTTAGCCGCTGAAATGTAAATACACCATACCTCAAGTTAAACAATTTGTATATTATATTGTAAGAAACTGCCGTCAACGTTTCTATGTAATTACAATAATACATTAGTAAGAATCCAATTCATAACATGATATGTAGACATGTTCTTTTTATATAAGCTAAGGCTATTAAATCTCATCAAATAATTTGTTTTCAAACGTGAGACACATCGATAGCAATAAAGCTCATGATTGATAATATAAAGGATTAATCTGGTTTGGAACCGTCATATTTATGTTTTCAAAATAAGATCATCTGCCTTTGCAAACTATACCGAGCTAAGGGATGTTGTTAAATTTGAAACATACCTAAGTTATTATTATCAGAAGAATATCGAAGACAAATAATTAAATGCTGAATTCGTTTTTACAAATAAGTAATAAAGTTCTATCTCGACATACCTAAGCCTTGGGAGCTGGC